TAGGTGGAATTCACAATAAAAACGAGTTCTAAGTCCAAGAAACTTACCTCAAGTCGTTCCCCCTTGAATCCCTCTTTAATCTCCACCAAGAAGCTCTCAAAATGATCAACCATGGAGGAAAAATGACCCAAAATCGCGGATGAAGTGTTTTATAAACTCACTGCCCAGAATTTTTTCGAAAGTACTGTTCATGCGTGCGGTCACTGTTCACCCGCGCAGTTACTGTTCACGTGCGGTTACTGTTTACGCTGCTAAAAAATACAGCAGCAACCAAAGAAATTGTAGCACTTTTCTTTTTACTAAAATGGCTCTAACTCCATAATACGAACTCGGAATTCGATGATTCTTGTTCCTATGAGTCACAAATAATGATATGAACATAGTCCTTCAATCGAAACTCAATCCAGAGCTCGTTTGCTCAGTGCAATATTCATTTCGCTCGTTAAACAATTAACTCATGTTTCGTGTCAAAAACCCAATCGCGACTTGAAGAAATTAGACCAAACTTTCCAGATCACTCCTATAATTCATTATTTAAATTTTGGAAATCTCGAAATAAAATTTCGATCTCTAGAACTAAAAATGGACCTTTGGATCATTACATGCTTATGCTCAAACGACAAAACTCTTCCAAAAACTCTTCCAAAACTTATCCGAGCCTCATGGGACCCTGACCAAATATGCCAACATAATTTATAACATTATTCAAACCTCTTTCAATCATCAAAACACCTCAAACAACATCAAATTACCCAAAACTCATCGAATTCAAGCCTAATTTTCTAAAAACTTCCGAAATACACTTTCGATCAAAAACCCGACCAAACCACGTCCGAATGACCTGAAATTTTGCATACATATCTCAAATCACCTAACTAAGCTACAACAGCTCTCGGATCAAAATCTCACGTATCAACCGGAATTCGCCAAAATACTAACTTCGCCAATTCAAGCCTAATTCTACACCGGACCTCCAAAATTACTTCCGATCACACTCCTAAGTCACAAATCATCCCCCGAAGCTAATCGAATCATCGGAATTCAAATCCGAGCTCTCTAACACATAAGTCAACGTCCGGTTGACTTTTCCAAAACAAACCTTCCTTAAAGAGACTAAGTGTCTCATTTCCTACTAAAACCAATCCAAATCAACTCGTTCACACCCAACACTGATAATGAAGCATAAAGAAATAAGAAATGGAGAAAACGAGGCGGTAACTCATGAGACGACAGGTTGGGTCGTCACACTGTTGGGGTATGATTTTAGGAGATTTTTGAACCTTCTTCTTTTTTGAAGGTTTGACAATTGGAGAAACTTTGATTTTTTTGTAGGTTTTGGGATAACTTCTTCTTCGGCGAAATCATCATCACGTGCAATACTTTTTCTCTTCTGCTTTACTAATTTAGCAGATGTCGAAGCTTCACCAGCATCCCTTTCATGCTTGAGTTTTGTTCGAGCTTCTGCCCTAGTTTCACGAGGGGAAAGCTTGGACTTTATCTCTGGTTTTGCATGTGTTGATTTCACTATTTTTTGGGGGAATCCTGTGAGAAAATACCCAAATCAAAATTAGAAATATCACCAACATTAGCTTTTTTAGGGTTATTCTTCGAAAATCCTTTCTTATTCATCATAAGGGGAGGAAAATTTTAAGATGTTATTGATTTCGTAGGATTTTGAGAGAGAAATCAGAAAGTTTGAGAGAGATTATAAAAGATTTTTGAACAAAAATGAAAAAGAGCGTTAATGGAGGGAGAGAGTATCAGAATCGTGGGGTGTATGGACAGAGAAACGTGGGAGGAGTGGGTTATGTATGTTAGCGAGATTATATGAGTTAAATGATTCTCATTAAATTTCTAAAATACATATGATTGGTAAATTGTATATGCCTATGTAATTAAATTGAAACTTGAGTAGTGAGGGTAATAATATTTCAAATAGTGTATACAACAACAACAATAATATACCCAGTATTATTCCACATTGTGGGGTCTGGGGAGGGTAGTGTGTACACAGAACTTACCCCTACCTTGTGAGGATAGAGAGGATGTTTCCAATAGACTCTCGGCTCCGGAAAGCATAAGCACCACATTAATGAAAATATAGACAAGGGATAGTACCAAAAAACATATAAAAGAAGAAAAAAAAATAACAAGACAATAAGGTAATCAACAATGAAAGAAAACGACGGTTAGTCATAAAAATCTACTATCAACAGAAAGTGAGACTGCGCGCCAATACTAATGTTATGAACACTATAGACTACCTAGTCTACTACCCTAATCCTCGACTTCCATACCTTCCTATCAACGATCATATCCTCGATCTGCTGAATCTGTGCCATGTATTACCTAATCACCTCGACCCACCTCTTCTTTGGCCTACCTGTACATCTCTGTAGGCCCTCCAAATTTCAAGTAGTGTATAGGAAGATAAAAATCCCTTTATGCATTATTCCGAAAACAAATAGTTATTGCTGGACCATGGGCTTTGAATACTCCCAACTCTCTCCTACATTCAGGTAACGCCCATTAAAGATACAAGGCCCCAAAAAGCCCATCATTCCAGCCCATAAATCGACTGTTACAAATAGTATATAATACCCTTATAGCAGCAGCAGCATGAGGGATTTTAGTGTTGCAAAGAGAAGACCTCGCCGCCTCCTTCTCTTCTCTCTGCACTGTAAGGCCTTCATTTTCCATCTCTTTTCATTCTTTCATGTATATTTTTCGTATAATCTTTTTTATGCTAATCGTAGTTTTAGCCTATTTTTTTACAATAAGTGTTTTATCGATAACTCAGTTGTTTTCATTTCCCTTGTATATATAATACTAGTTTTGTTTCTTAAAACCGTTTCTTTTTTAGTTGAAGATTTTGGATCTTTGTTTACCCAGCTTTTTTTAAGGTTACTAAATTAGTATAAAATTCACATCGTTCAATTATGTATTGAAATGCTAACCCAATTGAGTGAAAGAGATGTTGTTTTCTTTTGAAATACTTTTCTAATATTACTTCTTTGCATAGGTATCATGTTATTCATTAAGTATTAAGATTGATAATAAAACATTTTAGGTAGGAGATATACGGTTTAAACAGCTGGAATAACCTGAAATTTGTCACAAATAAGTGATATGTGTTGGGTTGGGATGTCGCCTAATCTATTTTAAGATTTATGTCTACGTCATATAGGTATATAAATGATATGAATCATGGGAGCTGTTCATAATATTTGGTTGTTAAATAGGTGCGAATATCTCAATCACTTGTTTGATGTTTTTGGTTTATGTCTTAGGATTTGTATTTTGGTTTATGGCATAACAATTTGGCTGTTGAGTTTTTTCATTTCTGATGAATTCCTGATAGATGTATGTGTATATATGTATATGTATATCCGTTTGTGTAGATATATGAGAGTGTGTGTGTGTGTGTGTTAAAATTGCGTCTAGCTAGTGTCTGTAGTTCGCAAGCATGATGGACTCTGATAAACATAGAGCTTCCTTTTAAAAAACTTTATGTTTTCTGGTGTGTCTTTTTAGAATTTATCTTTTGAAATTTTCATGGTTTAGTTATTAATTTATTATTGAACCTTTGAATGTCTGTCTATTTCTTATATGTGTGTGGATTCTACCTAGTAACAATTTTGAAACCTTCATGCATGTGAGATGTGTTATAGTTCTACCTGTTGTTCCGTTTGGATCTTTTAGATTAGATTGCTGTTTGATAATTGGGGGCTTAGCCACATGGATCTGATTTTTAGAGTAATAAACTATGTTTTGGTGGATCTTTTTGGTTAGTCTAATTTGTGTTGTGGTTTCAAATGTCAGGAACATAAACAATTCTGTAGCTGTTACAGTTAACAAGTATTCAAGATGGTGAAGTTCACAGCTGAAGAGCTTAGAAACATTATGGACTACAAGCATAACATTCGTAATATGTCTGTTATTGCTCATGTGGACCATGGTAAGCAACTGAAATAATTCTGATGATGTTGCTTAGTTATAGTTTTTCTGTAGAAATTTTTTTCTCATGTCGAGTAAGAGTAACTTTATTGCCCACTGATCATCTGGAGTTAATCTTGACATTAACATCATACTATTATATATTTTTTGGGTAGTACAATTTTGCTTAATGGTATTTCATTAGTTTTCTTCTCCAGTTTCCCTGTCCGTCCACAGAACAGATTCGAGGTATTGGTAATAGCATACCATCTCTGGTTCTAATTTCCTGATTATCTTTGATCTGACAGGAAAATCTACCCTTACCGACTCTCTGGTGGCGGCTGCTGGTATTATTGCTCAGGAAGTCGCAGGTGATGTCAGAATGACAGATACACGTGCAGATGAAGCTGAGCGTGGTATCACCATCAAGTCCACTGGTATTTCACTATATTATCAGATGACTGATGAATCCTTGAAGAACTTCAAGGGAGAGAGAAATGGGAACGAGTACCTCATCAACCTCATTGATTCACCTGGGCACGTTGACTTCTCATCTGAAGTGACTGCTGCCCTTCGTATTACTGATGGTGCACTTGTTGTGGTTGACTGTGTAGAAGGTGTCTGTGTCCAGACAGAGACTGTGCTCCGTCAGGCCCT